GATAGCCGTTAACAGACTGCGCGCACTCGAGCGTCGATTTAAATCGGACAAGGAACTTTGAGATAGTTATCACGCGTTCATGCGAGATTACTTAGATAGTGGCCACATGGAGCTAGCGAGAGCTCCGTTTCCCGCGGACGGTCGCGTATATTATTTGCCCCATCATGGGGTTTACAAACTGGACAGCACTACTACAAAACTTCGCGTCGTTTTCAATGCTTCGTCGAAATGCCCGAACGGGCTATCCTTAAACGATACCTTGCTCAGTGGCCCGAAATTGCAGCCCGACATCGTCGCGGTCCTACTCCTCTTTCGCGCTGAGCCCGTAGCCATCACCGCGGACGTTAAACAAATGTTCCGGCAAATCTGGATAAACCCGGAACATCGCGATTATCAGCGTATCGTCTGGCGCTTCTCGGAATCGGATATACAGGGTGTCCAAAAAATCGCCCACTCCACTTTGGGAGGTGATTCGGGACCCAAAAACAAGCAAAAAAGTTTATACAAACATAGGTCCGGAAATAAGCCGTTTCCGAGTTATAGCCATTTTTATGTTCAAAAATCGGGTAAATGTTTAGTATAACGCTCTCCTCTTCGATTTTCTTAAAACTTTGTAAAATTGTTTATTTTTATGTGTAAAAAACATTCTGAGAAGGAAAATCGTCGCTCAGGTCTCGTTTTTTAAATATTTAATTTCTAAGTTTTGATGTTGGTAAGGTAGGAAACTTCATTTCGTCATGGGACTAGCGACTGTTGCGCATCCCTAGCGGCCCGAACAGAACTCTTCAAGTCGTGTATAAACACAGTCGCTACCTATGACAATTTGTTACTATTACTCATTAACGGTGCCATTTAGGTTAAGATGTGAAATACTGTACGTGGCCAAAATTGATAAATTGTGATTTCTGTTAAAGCAGGGCACACGCACACGCACGCACGCGCACACACACGCGCGCGCGCGCGCACACACACACACACACACACACACACACACACACACACACACACACACACACACACACACACACACACACACACACACACACACACGTGTGTATGCCCTGCTTTATAGAAGTTGTGATTTTCGTTAAAGCAGGGCACACACACACGTGTGTATGCTCTGCTTTATAGAAGTTGTGATTTTTGTTAAAGCAGATATTTTGCATTTAATTAGCAGGCAGTTGTTACGTGACCTTCTTCACTTCTATTTTGCTGCACCGTTAAATGATGTTCAATTATTCAATTGAGCAAATTAATAAAAATCCCTGGCTTGGTATTCAAGACGTAGTTGGTGATGCTAATTTGTGGCCAAAATTTATACGCAAAATGTTTTGGGAGAAACGATTGACAGATCATAATCGTATGATTATAGTTAATTTTGCATATTTAAATGCTATTTCGGAAGACTTTTTACACGAAATATTATCTTTCACTTTAAAAGAAGCCTATACAAAAAATCGAAGACGTGAGATAAAAGATAGATTTTCGTATTTAAATCATGAGGTAATTTTATTAATCTTAATTAACAAATTAATTAAATTATATTTATTAAATATTTTTTAAAATTTTTAGGAATTTGGCCATGAACGACGTAGCCGTGTTTACAGCTATAATGTATATTTTAAGGAAATGTTGGATTTAAACTTTAATCCATATAAAAAGAATTAAAAAGGTACAAATTTTAAATCACAAATTATTTTCTGTTTTAAATATATAAAAAAATTATTTTATTGTGTTTTTAACTATAGCAGAGAACATTTTTTTATTTTTAGGAATTTATTTCGGTTGGAGATTATAATTTGTTAATAACACAGAAGAAAATAATATATGCGTTTATAAGTAAAGAAAATAATTGTATTGTTACAATGTTATTGAAGTTGGAGGATATAACTCGCCAATTATTTTAAAAAATTGTACAATACGTTCATTAAAATTAAATTTTCTTTTAAAAATAAATTCTGCTAAATATCCAATTAAATGTATTTCCCTCGTACCATATCTTGGGATATTTGATCGTACCTCACGCCAAAGTCGCTCGATATTTTGCGTACGTGCACCTAAGTTTAAAAATATTTTTTAATTTAACATTACTATCTATTAATATTACTATTATTTTATATTTAAAATTTTGTACCGGTATCTGGATCGACAAAATGTAATGAATGGTTCACGGTATAATGTTTGAAATCTTCTTTTTCCAAACATTTGTACGCTTTCCAGCAATCCGACATTATAACTGTTCCCGGTAATATCCATTCTTTAATAACACTTATTAGTGTTTCTGTGGTTCTGTCAACAACAGGTACTATAAACATTTTTCCGCTATTTCTTTCATATCCCCCAAAAATCCATTTTCCCTCGATAAGTCGTCCTCTGTTATATTTTCTTCTTCCAATTTTTGCTTCGTCAATTTCTACAATTACTCCTTCACCTCCAATTTTTTCAGAATGGGACTCAACCCAATAAATGCATACTTAATAATAATTAGTATTTAAAATAATTATAAATGGTTACAAATATTATTGATTTTATGATAGGAATAATAAAAATTATTATATTACTTCGCGACAAAAACTTTGCCAATCAACTACTGTCCGACTAGACAGATCTAATTCATTTTTTAAAAAAT